ATATTGGGATTGATTGTGTAAATCATTCATTCTTATAATGTGGACTAATGATCCATGATTCCTTATGCTGGGCTTAACCCATGTGGTGACCCATGGATACTCCATGAAGGTTAAAACCCACGGATCATGAGGAATGTGGAAAGTCATGCACATTAGGGTTTACATGGTGTAACCCCAATGTAATCACACTATATAAGAAGCCCTTTGGTTCAAGAAATTGGCACTTAGAGTATATACAAGAGTGTGGCCGACTTTTGTGAGCTAGAGAGTCCTCTTCTAAGTTTCCAAGTCTTAGTGGTGATTTGTGATTCCACTTGAGGCATTCACATTATTGGTGCTAGGCTCTTAAAGCTCCAAGCAACAAGCTACAACAAAAGGTATGTTATCTAACTTGCTTTATTACCCAAGTATCAAAGTTTTGTATGCTTACTAGGGTAATACCTTGGAAAATGAAAGTTTGCATGGATAATAGAGAAAACATAGATCCAAGGTATTTAGGGTTGCATGTACACCTTAGGAGTGTTAGAATGCTCAAAACCATTCATTATGTCCCAAGCCTGAAGCTTTATGAGTTTGATGAACTACAGAGCATAGCTCTTGTCCTTGTAGGTGTTTTTAGACGTTTAGGTTCATAAAAGTGAGATCTTGGTCGTCAAGATCTCTCCATGCATGAGATATGTGGACCTTTGTGATTAGAGGATTAGAGTTTATGATTTTTTTGACTTGTCCAGCCTTGCTAAGGCTTAAAGTCACCAACTTTATGGAGTAATGGACCTTATTCAGCCCAGATCTGTAGTGGTAGCAACTGTCTTAACGGATTAAAACCAACAGAGTGAAAAGAGGAAGTCTGGGGAGTATGTCGTGCGTACTCTCAGCTATGCGCCGCGTAGCACTAAGCCACCCCGATGCATGCATGGCTAGTTGTACGCCCATCGTAGAGGGATGTACGCCCAACATACGCGCTGGATGTTGACTTTCTTTGACTTTTAGGGTTTTGGTCAAGATGTGGACTTTTGAGGGGATAAATGGTTTGTTACCCTCCTGGGGTTTAGTATAGAAACTTGGTCTAACATTTTAAGGGTTGTTCATGTCAATTATTAATTAGAGTTATATGTGACATATGTTAGGCGGAGACTAGACTGGCAGTTCGGGTGCAGGATTACTTGCTTTACTTTCGAGGTGAGTCCTCTCACTATACTTACATGTATGGTAATCTATGTGTAACCGGAGGGTCTTATTCTTGTTATTAACCCGAGGGTCCTATTTGCTTATACTGAGATATGTGTTATTGTGCTTTCTGTACTTGTGATTTGTGCTATTACATTATCCTATACATATATTGAGTTATGAACGGAGGGTCCATACCGAGCCGTGAGACCGCAGGGTCTTCACTGAGACACATGACCAGAGGGTCCATACCGAGCCCTGAGACCGGAGGGTCTTCACTGAGACATATGACCGAAGGGTCCATACCGAGACATAAGACCAAAGGGTCCTCATTGAGACTTATGACCGGAGGGTCCTTATCGAGACATAGCCATGCGAGGCTAATTATTTCTATATGTGGTATTTTGGGGAACTCACTAAGCTTCGTGCTTATAGTTTTTGTGTAAAATGTGTTTTAGGTACATCTCAGGATCGCGGGAAGGCGTCGGCATGATTGTACACACCAACTTGATGATTTGTGTTTATGTGGATTATGGGATTTTTGAAAAACAATTTCAGATGTTTTGTGTTTGGGAAAATTCAATTTTGGCATGAGAAATGTTAAACTATGTTTTGTGTGAAACTTTTAAAATGAAAAATTTTGTCTGAAAATTTAGAGTGTTACAGCTTGGGTCATCACTTCTCATCATCTTTTACCTCTTTCATCTCTCATCTGTCATCATTCATCTCATCTTTCATCTCTCATCTCATCTCTAATCTACCCATCTTTACCCATCATAATTATAGGTATAAAATACGTATATATTTTAAATCGAATAAAACATGTATATTTTGTTCATCCAACATAGATATCAATAACACAGATAATATGCACACATAGCACGTAATTTATATTAAATACTTCATATCTATGTGTAAGATGAAAGTAACTATGCACTCACCTGACTAGTTAGTAAAAACTAACTCCTATTATGGGTCCAAGCTCAACACTGCTTGTCAACTTATTATATTGCCTAAAACATCTAATATGTGAAGTGATATTCAAAAATAATTTCTTGAAAGACTTTCGTTGATATATGAAATCAATTCTAGATGTTGCTATTTATACTAGAATTCAAACCGCCTATCTCTTATCTTCCGTACGGTTTAAAATGCTTACTCATTTAAAATTATTGACACGTATAACTCTGGTTACAAGAGTCAATAGAAAAACAAAACACGTATACCTTTTTATTAAATGAATTTGTACGATCACATATTTAAACAACACATGTTATTTTTAATTAATAAAACATGTACGACCTTTCTTATATTTCTTACATTGTATTTTGGTTTGCAATTCACAAATCAATTATAGTTACATTTATGACCCCTTAGTTATTCTTGTATTAACACAATATATCCTTCAAATTACACTATAGTCTCTTAACTATTTATTAATAAAATCATTATACCCTTTATAATAAAATCTTATCCAAATTTATAATCAATAACTAACGTCGTAAAAAGTACTCGGTCAATTATTATCGAAAAACGGGTATAACGGAAAAATTATCGTTTCACTACTTGGGTTCACCCTTAAATGTATTTAAACCAAATACGTCTTATATAGTTTGAGATTTTACAATCGTTATAATTTTCGTTAAGATTTTTTATCCTAAATAATCTTCTATTTAAAAATGTTATTTTATCACTTTTCGATAAGTTTATAACAAGATTTATACAAATATTATATACCCATAATATTTGTCCACATAACACGTATATAATAACTAAGTATTTATATAACATGTAACGCATACGCATACAAAGAAAATTTATCATATTTGAGGATTTTAATTATTTGATAAAATAAATATTTATTATTATTATCCCTTTAACGTTTAGCCTAACTCTCGGGCGTTACACCCAGCGTACTCCTTAGAGCACTCGAGATCCAATTGCTTAGTACGCCCAACGTACATCATTGTACGCCCCGCGTACTGGCCTCAACACTAGTATGCTATACGTACACTTGTGTATGCCCCGCGTACCTGGTGAAACCCTAATTTCACCAATCTTCCGAATGCCATAACTTCTTCGTTATAGGTCCGTTCTGGCGATCCTTATATCCACGAAAAGGTAACGAGAAGCTCTACACTTCTATCAACTCATACCGGCCTAAAGACCTTCCGAACAAAAATCCAATTTCCATAAAAGCCCGAACTGACACTTTACCGAAATACCCCCAGGCTGCAAAACACAAACCGAACACCCAGATCACCTCAATTACATTACTCGCACCCAAGTGAGTCTAGATCTCACCTTTTCCAAAGGACCTAAGCCTTAGGATAACCGATCCTCAGGCAACAGCCTTGAATTAGGAATTTATTCGGTACAAAGCGTTATAGTAGCGCTCAGAGCGCCGCTTCTCAATAACTCTGCTACCAATGGTAGATAACCACTACTGGTGCACGGCCCACCAATAAGACGCCTCCACGTCCTAACAATCCAAACAAGACAGAAGGTGTTGTCAAGGACATGCTCCTCGGACGATAGTTATAAAGGACCCTTATTCTCCAGAAGAAGGGATCTCTCTCTCTCTCTCTCTCTCTCTCTCTCTCTCTCTAACTAATACAAAACCCTAATTCCCCCATACACTTACTGACTAGACCGTCAGAGTCTTGTTTCGAGACCCCCTCTCGGACAACGACTAACGTCAGCTCTTTCTTTGTTGTGATTCTCAGGCTTAACCAGATGACGCAACCCACAAACAACGTGAAACTCGAAGAAATATCACAACATTACACTTGTAGCCTTTTCTTGCTAGATGTATGGTGTATTAAAGCATCAATACTCAATGAGTAAGGACTTGGATTAAGATGATTAAAATGCTTGCATGTATCTCTTCTTTTACTAGCTAAAACCCATGAAATTTGGTGCTTCCCGTCTTTATATTCTCTCTAGTTTTTGTCTCTTAAAGTGTCAAAAACATAAAGATACAAACGATACTTGAAAACTCTCTTTTAAGGAAAACTAGTTTCTTTGTCTTAGCTTAAGAAATTCTTTTATTACAAGACTAGCATCTTATCAAGTTGATTTATTGTTGGTAGATATCTATGGATAACTTTTACCTTAAAGTTTCATGCCACACTTCATCAACTCCAATCTCCCATGAGAATTAAAGTTTTCAAAGGTTGTAACACTTTTCTTTCTATTTTTGTTTTTATCTTTCTAAGTCTTGCAAAAGATCATTGGTGGGTTAAAATGATTTTAATTTATTTAAATAAAAATGCATCTGCTGCTAATTATGTCACTATAATTAGACTATTTTTGAATAAAACCCAACAGAGCGACCCTTTTTTATAGTCTCATTTCTAATGGGAGGGAGTGTTGCCGAATGACCGATCCTTGACCTGCTAAATGGCTAATGTGAGAAAAACGACCCAAATGTTAGGCAGTACCACACAAAATCTTTACCGGGAAAAACCGCATAAAACTAACAAACTTAAGGACTTTTATGGCAAAAGCCTATTATCTATTCAAAATAATAATATATTTACATTTTTTTACCTATAATAGCAATGTAATAGCATTTTCTTTTGGATATTAGCAATATGTAACTTGTAATATCAGCACATTTACATTCTTATACTCATAATAGCAACTTACTTACAACTTTTAATCCCTAATAGCAGTGTACTTCCATATTTGTTGATAATAGCAATAAACAAACAAGATACATTGCCCAAATATAGCAACCGATTCAAATATAAAATAAAACATTGTATTATACCAATCTAGCAAAATATAGCAACCGATTTAAATACAAAATGGATTTGCTTGTTACAATTAGATAGAATACTCAATATATAATGTCCTAATAACAAATGAAAGTAGAATGCTATAACTGGATACATTTCAAATACAAAGCCTTACTAAAAAAATGAAAGTAACATAAAGAAATAAGAATTACAATATTACAATACACAAATTAATAAAAATACACTGCTATCTACAACATTTAGCCTAAGGGCAGGATATAAAGTACATTGACATTTTCCGCAAATATAAAACTTAAAACTGATATTGTTTATAATACTTATCATGAATCTCACCTTCCACACCATTCTTTTTCAAAACTTTATACACATCCATAACAAGTTTTGGAAACAGGCTGCTAAAATATCCATCGATTTCTGTGGGGTCCTTCCTAAACAAACTTTGCGACTCTTTTGAGAGATTTCCATAGTGACCATATATGTTTCTTATGGCTCGTAATAAACAACGTACGTTGTTATAGTTGTACACTCTCCAACGCTCGATGTCTGTGATGAGCGTTTTGTCTAATTTTTGGTTCCAGTCCTTGTAATGCTTGATGTGTTTGAGTGATTTTAGGAGATTAGAACCAGGGTCTTCTAGTTCTACGTGGTCACTTGAGTCACGAAGGAAGGAGATACGTTTTTCAGGGTCCCAGAATAGAGGGTGGTTGTATACTTCTGTGGCTTTTGGCCTGAATAAGAAAAAATGCACATGTGTAATCTCTTGAAAACGAAAGAGTAAAATACAGAAAAGCACAATGGACTTCAGCGATTTCATCAATTTAGTTACTTAACAGGTTTCTCTAGTGATTAAACCATTATACTTCATCTGACTATTCAAAAAAGAACATTTTCAGGGTACCTGGTCTTGAAGAAAGGCAAAATATAGGAAAACCATAACATATTTTCACCATTTAATTGATTTGGTCCTTTAATAAATCATATGTAGTAATCAAATCGCTGTACTTTTTTTGACCTTTCATAAAGTTCATTTTTTGTGTTTACCTGGTTTTAGAAAAAGGGGAAATACAGAAAAAGCTGAATCGATTTGGTGAATTAACTAGTTTCTGTGGTAATTAAAAAACTATACAGTTTGACCATTTAAAAAACAACATTTCTCTTGATTACCGGTATTGTAAAAAGGCAAAAGGAAGAAAAAACGAATGCACTGCCACCATTTTATCGATTTAGCTGCTGTACAATTTTTTGTAGTAAATAAGCCATTAATTATACCTTTTTTAATCATTTTTCCCAGTTAGCGGTTTTCAAAAGAGGCAAAATACAGAAACACAAAAAGTACTTTTACCATTTTTTAAGTTTAGCCGCTGAACTGTTTATTCTTTATGATAACTATAATAATAGATCAGTAGCTAAAATGGTTAAACTGCATGGTGTTTTTTCAAATTTTGGCCTTTGCCATATCAAAAACAGAGTAACAAGAAAAAATGGTTCTTATAACGTTCAAATAATATAATAGTTTACTCAGTTGAGTGATTAAATCGATATGATGATGAAAGTATGTACGTTGTGACTTTTTAGTATTTTGCGCTTTGCCACATCAAAATAGAGTACCGAGGATATTGGGTTTTTAAATGAAAAAAGTTTAATCACAATAGGAAATAATTAGTTAAGAGGCTATATCTATAAAATGGTAAAAATATAATGACTTTTCTGTAATTTGCCAATAATAAAATAAATGCAATTTCAAATCATTAAAACATGCAATCAGTCAACATATTTATCAACTAATACACTCCTCCCATGGTATTTTTGATATTTGACTAGTAGAACAAAGTCTATTTAAACTACGTTCACCATGCATACTTTATCATGTTTGTTGGAAAGAATTCAATACAAATCATACCTGGATTCTGCATCAGGATCTAGGAGACGAGAGATAAGATCAAAGGCTTCCGGAATCTTTTCTACGGATGATAGATATCTTTTTCCCTTCAAAATATTTATATCACGCTCAAGCACATCACCAAACGGGTGTTTACCACCAGTGATACAGAAGAAAACCAGACACCCAAGACTGAATAAATCCCCAGAACGCCTTTGTCTTTCATTCCGTAGTCGTTCGGGTGCTTTCCACCCGGTGCTCCCTAAACGAAAATTAAATAAAGATTAAAAAAAATTTAATCCCTACAGTTATTTAAGATATACAAGACATAACAATATACTTTCTAATTTTTTCTCATTACAACACTGATTATTCCTCATCAGAGAATTTCACTTTACATACCCATCATAGCAATTAGATTACAATTACGAATTTACGATGATGTGCCACATGTTACACAACTGCCGACGTGTCATATAATTTATAGTTTTCTTTTACAAGAAACTGCCCATATAAGATGAGTTTTAGATCATCATTGATGAAATCGACATATCAAATGAAATTTATATTTAATTTTACAAAAACCTGTCCTTTCTCTCATCTTGGCTATATTTTTTTAATGGCTAATATGGACAGTTTTTTATAATAAAACATTACAAATTTTCGCTACATCAGTATGATATCACACATGTACGTCCTATGTGGAGAATGACATAGCATAAAAACATGTTAATTTGTGCCATGCCGTAATAATTCCAATCTCATCACTAGCATGGGTAAATTTTCTAAAGTGCAATGCTTTAATAAAGAATAATCTGAAAGTATGATACTGTAATAAGAAAAAAAAGTATAATGCCATAAATTAGAAACTATATTGCAGTTTCTATTTTTTCCATTCAAATATTAGCAAAAGTAATGTATCATAATAATAAAGAAAACTTGCCAGTTGTGCTTTTGGTTAATGAAGATTTATCCGCAGCTAGGCGTCTGCTAATACCCATATCTGAGACCATCGCACTGATATAAGTATATTTTGTATTAAGACATTTTGAGGCTTTAAGTCACGATGAATGATTTTAAGTTCATGTAAATGGGCAAGTCCTTTAACCGCGTCCCTGAAATTCATATTTGCCAAAACGATATAATGAGTTTAAAATAAATTCTAGAAGTGTTCCACCTATCACCCCAAAAAGGCTACATGATAAGTTACTGGTTCTCTTTGACTTGATGAGAGCATGGGTTGATATGGTAATTAATCCATATATGAGTATGTCTATTTTACTTAATAGAGACTTACTTAACAGAGAGTTACACAATTGTCTCATTTACTTTTGGATTAAATGCAAAAAATAGCAATATACTTTCATCTATTTGTTTGATATGACATCCTATTTTTGTTTCATGCTAGTACAACATTGTACTTTGAAAAATTTACCAAATTATAGCAATGTTAAATACAAAGCAAATTTCACTGCTACAACAGAGTAGCTTTTTCAAAGTACAATGTTTTAATAAAGAAAATGTAAAGTACAATACTATAACTGGGTAATCTTTTAAAGAACAACGTATTAATAAGAAAAAAACAAAAGTACAATGTTGTAATAGAAAGAAAAGAAAGTAAGATTATATAACAAAAAAAAGTACATCGCTATTTCTTGCATTCACCCCTTAATTATTTCCTTCCATTTTCCCTTGTTTTCCAAGATTTTATCATATATCTTTTAATCATCATTTAACCAGATATCACTTAACTGGAAGAAAAAGAAAAAGAAAAGGTCTAACCTCATTAAATTCAACAAAGTAGATGAAGGATACCCATTAGGCTTCCACAATTTCAAATCCTTAAAAACATCTATTGTGGGTTCCAATTGCACACCCAAATTACCATGTGACAATATCAAATCATGTAAGCTACATACACACTTCTCAAGAGCAACATAAACAAAATCTTGATCCTTCTCCACACCATAATACCTAACAATATTAGGATGCCAATCACATGCAATCAGATTTGCAATCTCGTTCATTGCAACATCATAATGTTCCTTCACAATCCTTTTCACAGCAACTTCCCTATCATCATAACTTCCCTTAAATACAATCGTACCACTACTCCCCATCCCAATTTTTATATTAGAAACCAATAACTTCCCAATTTTACGATATTGTTCACCAGGATCATTCCAAAAATAAATACCACATCCACCGATATCATACTCCACATTGTTCACCTTTAAGAACTGGCTTGTAACCCTAACCTGGCATTCACCCTTCTCCTTCTCAAACTCTGCTAGAGTATATTGGGAAATAATACTTCCACTAATCATACTTCCATCTTCTGATATGCATCGACTTTCCTGTGCCTTAATTTGTAAATGGTATACCTCTGTGCAATCATTTACCCGATATAAGCTAAGGTCAATTCCAGTCCCGGACTTTTGTCTGAATTTCTGACCGAAACCTTGTGGGAAATCCACTGTAATTGATGGAATCAGGTCTTCTATTGTTGGATTCATGTCTTCCCCTAATTCTTCAAAGACAGAAAGGGTAATGCTGCGAGGAGAACAACATAAAACCGATTATCATACACATATATTATCAGTCGGTTCACACAACATAAAACAGAGTAAATATCTACAAGGTTCATAACCGGAAAGTTGTTTACAATAAGTTCAAACAAAAAAAAAATTTGCAATGGTCTTCAAGGTTTATACATATATAAGAACAAAGATCTTACCTGCAAGCAACAAAGGCATCAAAAGTGAATTCAACAAGAAATTTTTCAGGATCTTCTTGATCGGGCACGATCTTCAAGGTTTCTTTCTTGATATGAACATCGATCTCCATTATGGGCGCACAATACCCGCAAGAAGGATACCAAGCACCGACAAATGCCAGTGCTGAAGGGTCCATACCCATGACGTGGTGCTGATCATATGGTGCAGGAAAGGGTACTGCAGTTTGGGGAGGTGGTAGGTAGTATGCTCCAGATGGGTACTGGTAATTTGAAGGATACGTTGGAGGAGTAATAGGGTTAGTGTAAGGGTATTGGTTAGAGGAAGGAAAAGAATACATAGGGTCATTGTTACTGGTCATCTCCAGCAGTGAAAAAATAACAGAACTCATTGTTAATGAACACTGACCCTTTACCCTAAAAACTACCCCTTCCTTTTTTCAAAAATAAAAGCTATAACTTGATTTTGAACATCAAAACAACTAGAAATGTTTTTGTGTGTTTATGGATTTCTCTGCAAACTCTAGAGCAAACTTCATTCCATTTGTAGTATCTATTAGTACAAATTTTTTGTAATCAGCAATTGATTATTAAAAAGCTTTTGTATCCACGTCAATTTCCACATCAAAACTAAGCGTTTGACTTTAAAACAAAATCCCTTATAAAGATCAAATCATCTCTCCTTTTTGTTCTTCCTCTGGCTTCAAGAGTCAGGTTGACATGATCAGAAATTGCCTTCAGTTACCTAAAAAATAGAAACTGTGGAAATCGATCAAAAGCAAAAGATCAGAAATTGTCTAAAAAAATGGAAATTCACTTCAATTACCGACCAAAAAGCAAAATATTAGAAATTGCAGAAATCGATCACGCAAAACACTGAAATCGATGAGTTAAAACCACCAGAATACTTACCGTTACTGCGGGGAAGGAGGAGGGCGGCGGCAGTGGCTATGGAGAAGAAAGAGGGTGGTGATGGAGGCTTCTTGGAACCGGTCAAAGGATTTGGAGCGAGGAGGCGGCAGTGTGAAGAAAAGAGAGAGAAAATAAAAAGCGATGTAAGTGCATAAGACCAAGTGTATAAGACCAAGGGAGTCGAGGTCTCAAAGCTGAAGATGAAGTAGAGTCTACCACTCCCTTGAGCCAAAGACCATTCCCATGGCCAATGGTGACCATGGTGGTGGCTCCACTCGCCGTCAGAAATTCTTGGTGACGCGTAGGCGGCAATTCTTGACTGGTGATATTATTTTTAAGGGAAAATACATGCTATAGATATTTTTTTTGAGTTTTTTTTTATTTTTCAAAATTTAGTCACAAAAAACAAAAATTTCGGCTATAGACATACGTTCGGCTCGGCGGAGCTCCCCTCTACGGGCTCCGCGGACTGACGAATGCTCTGCGGAATCGGGGTATTTTCGTAAATTTGCCCCTTCCTCTCATTGTAAAATCGGGTCTCCACTTTGGTCCCTAGTCTGGTCCCTCGACTTCAATCCGCTTTTCCGCGTTTCCGCATCAAAATCGACAGCAATCCTCGTCACCAACCCTTTCTTCCACATCAACTGAAACCCTCCGTCAGACGACATTTTCCGGCGACAGCAGATGGATCAGCATTTCCCCAACATTTTCGCCGATGGATACGTCTCCCGGGTAATCCGTTTTCACGTTCTTTAGATTAATGTTTCCCTTTTTCGTATTCTTTAGATTTAGGATTAAAATGGTATGAATATGCAGTTGCAAATAGGCGCAAATGGAATTGAAATGGTGAAGATCCATTCCACGGAGGGGATAGGTCACTCTGTAGAGGGCGCTCCGCGGAGTGACCAATACCCTCCGTGAAACGACCTAATATTTAATTGAAATGGCGAAGATCCACTCCGCAGAGGGGATAGGTCACTCCGCATAGGGTCTCTGCGGAGTTACCTATACCCTCCGCGGAATGACCTAAAATTCCAATTTTCCCTTTTTTCTGCCCTTTTATAGAAATTAATTTCAAAATGAACCCTTATGATGTGGGCTCAGGGGTAATCCAGTCTTTTAGCTATGGACCCATTGCATGTTGTTATTGTATATGTTATTTGTTTGTGTGTTTGTACTTTAGGGGAACTCACTAAGCATTGGATTACAGTTTTAGGTTCTGTTTCAGGTACTTCGGATGATCGCGGGAAGGTAAAGGCGTGACCGTACACATCCTCTTGTTATGTTTTATGATTTTGAAAAACTCTGATGTCAGAAATGTTTTGAAAACTATTTTGTAAACACTTTATGGATTTGGGTTGTATTTAAAAAGTTTAAAATTTTCATGATTATTATGGATGTTACAAGTTGGTATCAGAGCCTTGGTTTGAGTGAATTGGAGGAACACCCGTGTGAATCCAGTCTTAAGTTAAGGAAAAAGTTTTTTTTTAAAAGAAAATAAAAAATTTCACATTGTTTTCAAAATAATCGAAGAGGATGCAATGTGTACGATCAGTCGGGGCCAGTAAGTAGACCCCAAATTACCATACTGTATTTTGATCTTGTGATATGTTAGAACAACATGCTAGTGATAGGCTAGGGATCTTTAGGAATTGCATGATAGAATTGTCTGATTATATGATGTCTGATAGCCTAGGGTTCTTCTTTATATGGAATTGATCATTACTATAGTTGCTTTGTGTATGCATTATAGTTGTACAAAACTAAGATTCGATAGCCTGAGAATGTTTAGCGTGACCTTATTTCCTGTTCTTGTTTGATGAAGGAGGATCAGATATTTGATTGTCTATAGGGTCCAATGTTATGTATGATTAGTATACACGGGTGTTGTAGGGTTGGTGGAAGTTTCATGGACGAGTTGTGTGGGGTCAGCCAACCAGTTTCGTGATGTTTAGCATTCCTCTAGGGAGTGAGGATTGAGTGTATGCATATTCTAGTGTGTATTGTTAGGGTTGTTGTGATGATCCTTGAGACAAATACGGGTAGGTATGGAAGGTAGTATGGGCCCGTACTACTGAAAGCACAGGACCCGTACACGTAGCAAGGAAGTCATGACCCCTAGGGCTTGTTGGGAGTTGGTTCCCCTAGTATGATATGTGTTTTGTCTGATATCTCCCTAGTTTATTTTCAGCATGGTAATGACAATACAATTTGAGGCAGGATCCGGATTAGAACGGGAGCCGGTAGCTAGGATGGGCCAGCAGTGTCCGAGGAGAGGATAGGGAGATCCTTCAGGAGGAGGCTGTTGCTCACTTTCGAGCACAGTTGCTAGAGATGTTTGGGTCTATTAAGACCGCCATGCTGGAGTATTTTGATGAGCGATACGATGCCCTCTCTGAGGTTGTTGCTACTGCAGCCACCGCATCCGTTGTCGCAACTGGGGTTGGTACTGGGAGGGTCTTCCAGTATCGGGACTTCGACAATACGAAGCCCCTGACTTTCGACAAAGTTCAAGATCCGATCATATCTATGAGGTGGCTTTCTGACATTGAGGGATGTTTCTTCACTTTCTCTAGCCCAGTTGACCAGAAGGTCAGGTGCGCTCTGAACCTCCTGAAGTCCGGAGCGAAGGATTGGTGGAGACTTGTTACTAACTCGTATTCTCCTGAGCAGAGGACTGCAGTGAATTGGGAGCAGTTCTTGGAGATGTTTTGTTCTAGATATGTTCCGTTGGTGGAGCGTGAGAGGTTGTCCCAGGAGTACTTGGATTTGAGACAGTGGATTGAGTTGGCGACGGAGATCACCAAGATGTTTATGGAGAGGGCCATGTTTTGTCCTGAGTTTGCTACTTCTGAGCAAGCTCAGATGACCCGTTACTTGAGCATGCTCAAGACGGATATCAGGCAGTTTGTATCCACTCAACGTTATGGTTTATTGTTGGAGTTACAGGAGGTCTCCAGGCGGCGTGAGATTGAGATGGAGCTCCAGTTGAGGGAGTAGAGACTGGCCCCAACGCAGTCGCAGCATGCGCCGAAGCGGTTCAGGGCAGCTGATACTACATCTGGGAGTCGGAAGGGCCGCACTTGTGGGAAGTGTAGCAAGGTTCATGAGGGTGCTTTCCGATCATCTTCTGGGTTCCCCAATTGTGGTCGGCAGAGCCATATGGCGAGGGATTGCCACCAGCAGGCCCCAACACTTATCTTCACGATTTGTTCCCACTGCGACCAGGTTGGCCATGTGAAGTCAAACTGCCCCTCACTTGCTGCTAGTCTGACGCAGGCTCCAGGGCCGGCTACTCTGAGGATCACGAATGGGAGTCAGGGCAAGGCAAAGCCCATGAGGGCTCGAGGTCGCGCTTTCCAGCTCACGGCAAAGGAGGCCAGGTCAGCACCAGACGTCGTGACTGGTATGTTTTTAGTGAACTCTTTGCCCGCTCTTATGTTATTTGACCTAGGCACGAGTCGATCCTTTTTATCTCGATCATTCAGTAGGGAGTTTGATATGCCTATTGGGGAGTTACAGTGTCTGTTGCAAGTTTCCATCGCCAACGAACACGGGATGTCTGTATCCACCGTGTAATTTTATTGTTTTAATAAGAAGTTTGGGCAGCCATGACATGTGGCCTCATTACGACGTGGCCATTTGGTTTTGGACCATATGTTTTAATTAGATTCCATGTCGTGGCAACCATTTTGGGCCAAAAACCTTATCTCCGGACTTTTAGTTATATTCAAAGGAAGTTAAGGCTAGGGATTCCTTTACCCTTGGCCTCCATCACCCTCAAACGACTCATTTGCAAACTCTAAATCTTTTGGAAGATTCGGTGCTCTTTTGGTGGTTTTAAAGGAAGAAGAAGAAGAAGAAGAAGAGTTAGTGCCTTATCTCAGCAAGCAAACCTCACCTCCATTTGTGTATATCTTTTAGATCTTTTGCAAGTCCTCAAGTCCCCATCTTTGCTTGTATTTCTCTATAGATCTAGGTTTTATGTCATATTATTGTCCCTTTAAGGTAGTTTGAGTGGGTTGAAGAAATAAAGTTTGCAACTTTATGGTTTCTCTATGTTCCAAGAGCATTATACCTTATAGATATAGGAAGTGGTGGTGATTCGGTATCTTTGCTTGAATTTTAGGTTTTGTGCACTTTTTGACCTAAATATGAGAAAGGACATGCATGAGGTATGCATGTCCATAAAGTGCATTTTTAGGTTTCAAGGTGATATGTATGTACTTTTGGAAGTTTTAGATTGAAGATCTCATGGATTAAGTGCTTAATGGTCTAGTCGCTTGCATAAAGTTACCCTTTTGGACTTTTTAGATCCAGAATTGAGGAGATGTCTTAAAGGATAAAGTTGAAAACTTTATCCATTAAGACCATGGGAATGACCAGATCTGAGCTTTGGAGCTCTTGAAATTGGAAGGAGTTGGATTAAGCTCGTTTGAGTTGTTTACGGTGTAGCCTTAGGTTGCCACAACGTGGTGATTGTGGATCTATCGACTGTCTTGATGTTTTGTGCCCACGACGTGGCCAAGGAAGGCCACAACGTGGAGGACAACTTTTGGCATTTTTGACCTCAGCTTTGATCATCGACTTTAAGGGTTGGCTTTTAACCCATTGACTTTTAGTCAAATGCTAGTTTTAGCAAGATGGTCTAAGTATTTACTGTGTCTGATGTTATAGGTGGTGTTTAGCAATTGTCTCTTATTTTGTGAGCTGTTGACTTTTAACTTCATTAACGAGGTGAGTCTTCTCACTGTACTATGTAGGAAGCTAGCTGTCTATGTGACTCTTGCCTGTTATGTTGGGTTGAAATATATCCTAGGGCTGGGCCCACTAATATTATGTTGGGTTGAAATATACCCCAATGTTGTGCCCACTAATGTTATGTTGGGTTGAAATCATGGTTGTAGAAATCGCCAATCGGCTACTAACCGGTGGACTAGCGCTTATGGATTAATCGGGTAGGCGGTGATTAATCGGGAGATTAATTGGAGACCATTAATTATTAAAAAAATTATTCAAAAATTTATAAATATAACTTTAATCCTACAAAAAAGCGATTAATTGGCGATTAGGTCCGATTAGGTCCGACTTTGACCTGCATTGACCAAACCCGATTAGGTCCGATTAAGTCCGAGTAGGTCCGATTAATTCCGACCTTGACCTGCATTGACCAAACCCGATTATAGTGACCGATTAACAATATATCTTATCGGTGTAGGTCCGATTAGCGATTAATCGGCCGATTAGGCCGATTTCTGCAACACTGGTTGAAATAGACCCCATGGCTGGTGATGTGTAAAATTCACTCTAGTCTTAAATTTATAGGGTTGAAATTACCGATGCTAGAATTTACTACAC